TGAGGATCGCCTTCCATTTCCATGCAATTTCCCTTCTCACTCCCTTTCCCTCCCACCTCTCATCCCTGTTTACTGTAAATATTCTTCTCAAGCTCTTCGTCCCTACCCTGTCCTTGTTTACACCCCTTATATTAGCTGAGTTATTTTAAATATCTTGTTTCTAGTATTAAATATAAAAATACAGAAATATTTAACATTTTCTTCATATTTTCCATCGTCTAATTTTTTTTTTCCATTCTGGTGTTGGGGATGAAACCCATGGCTTTGCATATACTAAGTGAGCTTTCTACCAGTATATAGCCCCTGTTATCTAAAATATATTCAGCTTATTGCTGAAAATAATGAAACTGTTGGTGAATATTAAATATTAAATCCCTTTTGAAAATTCGACCTATTTGCCAAAGACTGGTCTTCTTTGAATTGGCAGAAAATATAATTAGACACAAGGGATGAAATTGTGAAGTTTATTTTTAAATACTGTTACAAAAGTGAAATGTGGCTGAGGTCAGTCCATCTGTAATCTTGGCTACTGGGAGGGCTGAGGGAGAAGGATCATAAGTAAAAGGTTAGCCTGGGCTACTTAGCAAGACCCTGTCTCAAAAAAAAAAAAAAAAAAAGCTGGGGATGTAGCTTAGTAGTATTGTTGCCTGCCTAGCATGTGCAGGACCCTGGGTTAAATCCCAGTACAACCACCACCACCACCACTCCTCAAAATAAGTGAAACCTGTTTTGACCTCATTTTGAAAGTGTTTCTGTTGGCTTTTTTAAAAGCTAAAAATCAAACTTGCCTCCTTATTTGCTTTAGGAAGAATTCATGTTTGAAATTCCTGTTTTTCTATCCTCCAGAAACTGTGATGGGTACCAGTAATCTGCATGTGGTTAAACACATTGATTCTTGAACTAGGCTATTCAAGTTTGAATGCCAGCTCTACAGTGTGCCTACTGACTCAAACCTTGAATAAGTTAGTTAACCTCTGTGATTCCAATTCCTCATCTGTACAGAGGGCTATAATACCTTCATAGTATTGTTGTGAAGATTATAATTTATAGCTTACTATTTTAGCTATTCTTATTATTTATTTTTTTCAAATAAGCATGCTAGATGCTTCTGATGAAAAATGTTGTATTACAAGTTGGAAAATCAATTAAGAATTGGCTTAAGAACATCTGTTATTGACCCTAGCACTTTTTCCAGCTAACGACCTTGAATTAAATCTAAGTTTTGGTCTTTAAAAGTGGTCTTTAAAAGATTAATTTAAACAATTTTTAAAAACCAAATAATATATTTGACCACATAGTAAAAACTTATGCTTATCCTTACTTCAGTATTATGATAAATTAGGTTTTTATAGCAAATTAACAGATAATGATTTTGTTACATTGACTATATTATGTATTCGTTAACAGTTTCTAACATAAGACCATTACACTGAAATTTAAATGTCAGTTTTCCTAATAAATTTGTTTTTACCCCAAAATTCTTTTCTTGTAATCAGTCTGTTTAGTATTTGAAAAATCTAGTATGAATTCTTTTGTATGTAATTATTACAAAATGTCATAGAAAGTGTTTTTGAAACTTAGTGTCATAGAAAGTATTTTTGAAACAGTGTATCAAGCCCCAATAAGCTTCCAATTTTTAAAATACAGTGCATTGAAAAAAACATCAGCTTTTGTTTGTGTGCTGGGTATTGAACTGAGCTACATCTTCAGCCCAAAACATCAATTTTTAATTATGTGGTAGTAAAAAGTGTTTTGTTAACTTGTTTGTTAACAAGTTTCATGCCACAATGATATCCTTATTTGCAGGTTTTGATGTACTCGTTATTGCTGGTATGGTGATCTTAAGAAATATTCTCCTGTTTGCATAGTTTTTGTTTTGTTTTGTTTTGTTTTGTTTTTGTTCGTTGGTTTGGTTTTTGTTTGTTGTTGTTTTGGTTTTTTATTTGTTGTTTTTTTTTTTTTTCGGTTTGGTACTGGGAATTGAACCCAGAGGTGCTTTTACTATAGCTTTGGTCCCCTTGCCCACTCCCGTCCCACCTTTTTGAAACAGTCTTTTTAAGTTCCCCAGGCTGGCCACAAACTTGCCATCCTCATACCTCAGCCTCCCAAGTCACTGGGATTACAGGTGTACACCACCATGCCCTAGCTTGTCTGGATAGTTTTTATTTATTTATTTATTTATTTATTTATTTATTTATTTATTTTTATTGGTTGCTCAAAACATTACAATGCTCTTGACATATTTCATACATTTGAGTCAAGTGGGTTATGAACTCCCATTTTTACCACGTGTACAGATTGTAGGATCACATTGGTTACACATCCACATTTTACATACTGCCATACTAGTGTCTGTTGTATTCTGCTGCCTTTCCTATCCCCTTCCTATCCCCCCTCCCCTCYCCTCCCCTCCTATCTTCTCTCTCTACCCCATCTACTGTAATTCATTTCTCTCTCAGTTTTTTTTTCCCTTTCCCCTCACATCTTTTTTTATGTAATTTTGTATAACAATGAGGGTCTCCTTCCATTTAGTTTTAACAGATATTAACATAATTTTAATTTGAATACAATATAAATTTTGAATTTGCATTATACATTTAGTGTTTACCATTTTATAATAAATAATAAGAATGGAAACAAATGTGATCCATTTGTTTGGATATATTTTACTTTACATAATTTTCCCTTGGCTTTGCTTTTAAATAAAATCTACCATGTTGTTTGTATTTCGTATGCTACCTTATAAATATCTTTTAAACATATTGAATTTCTACCTGAAGGGCAGAATTTAAGTAACTTAAGCAATAAATTAAGGAATTATTTATTACATATTTTTTCTGAGATGTAATCTTGGTGTGCATTTGATTGCCATTATAGTGATAGGGGAGGAGAGACATAAAACTATAATACATATTCAATTTTTGTTAGGAATTTGTGTTTATTTTGTTTCATTTAGGGAAAAAACCTGAAAGAGCTAGGTACAGTGACACATGCCTATAAATCCCTGTGGCTCTGGAGGCCAAGGCAGGAGGATCAAAGTTGGCCTCAGCAATTTAGTGAGGCCCTAAGCAACTCAGTGAAACCTTGTCTCTAAATAAAATATAAAAAAGGGCTAGTGATGTGGCTCAGTAGTTAAGTGCCCCTGGGTTTAATCCCCACTCTCCCCAACTACTACTAAAAAAAAAAAAAAAAAAAAAAAAATAAGAAAAGAAAAACCCTGAAAGAATATAATAGAAGGATTAGTCTTTTGAGTTCTATGGTTTCCTCTACTAGTGTGTCATTGTGATGTGAATTGGAGATATAACTTTTTAACCTAGATTCGTCTGGGGTATCAGGGTATCTGTAACTCTGCAGTATGATTGAAAACCCTCCTCTCATCATTGTTGGCAATGTGACTTGACTGTAATCTGAGCTGGAGCCTTTCTTTTTTGTCCCTGGAGGTCYGTCCTGTACCTCAAATATGTTTTTCAAATTCTAGCTAATGAGGAGGTATTAATAAAGTGTTTTGCTTTGTTCCAAAAATGCATCTGTTCTCCTTATTAAGGTGAACTTATTGAATTGATTCTGTTTTAAAAATACCATTCCAAATTGTGTTGAGTTTAAAGTCCACATACATTCTTTACTTTGTAAAAAGGAAATAGAGTTGCATATAACATAGAATTGGCATAAGTCAAATTAATTATGTTCTTATAGAAGAATTTTTACCTGGTTCTATATATTGCATATTAGGTATATCTTAAATGTATTTATAGAAAGAATGTACATATTAGCATATAAACATAAATTGCTATATAAACAACAAATATAACAATACAAATATATAAATTGTTATGTAAATATTAATATAGCTTCAAAGAAATATTGTTAAAAATATTTTGACCCTCAAAAAGAGTCCTGACACTTATTTTAATATTTGTCCTACTATCATGCACTTAATATGCCATCCCATATTTGGAAATTAATCTTTCAACTTTTTATGTTCATTAGCTTCATAGTACCAAAATGTTTAGTAGCCATACTGATTTATAACTCATAATCATTTAGTACCTTACTACACAAAAGTGTGATCTACAGACTATACCTAGGAACTTGTTACTTTTGCAGAACAGAAGGTCTCACTTGAGACCTACTAAGTCAAAATGGTGTTTTAATGAGATCCCAGTGTAGTTCTATACATGTTGAAGTTTGAGAAGCACTTATTTAGTACAACTTACTAACTCCGTAAGCTTCTTGAAAGTATTATATAGCTGTTGAAATCTGGAAGTCATTCATGGTTTGGCCTTAGAACAGTGCTGTCTATTCCTTTGATGGAATATAAATATTTGTTGGTTTCATGATTAATCAATAAGTAAAAGGTCTTAACATTTTTTTAGGATGTGTTTATTTATATGAGTGTATGTCTGTTGTTCCTGTAAGTTTCTACAAGCTACATGTAAACTAAACCTTTACTCCTTGTATAGTGATGCAGTGAAGATCTAAGCAAAAAATTCTCTGAGCATTCTATGTGCAAGTGAGAAATTTGTGCTATGATATCAACCAATATAGCAAGTTCAGGGGAAACAGAGCCATCTGCAGGTCTGGGACAAATTTGACATAGTTGTCATAATGGAAGATTATACTACAAGAAGTTTAGTCCTCACTGAGTAATTAATTACTAAAAGCCTGCTGTAGGGCCAACATTTTTCTATAGTTTTATGGATATAATAGAAGCTGAAGACATTATCTAGTTCCAGAGGCACTTACTTAATTGGCCAGTCCACTGCTTGACCATCAACATTTCTTCCACAACCAGATTTGGCAAATTGGAATGTTTTAATAAATATCAGCGTTATTTTCCTATTACATTACTATGTTTAATTTTCTTTGGGGAGGACTGTTTGTTTTCCTGTTTTGAGTTTTGTTTTTTGTTTTTGTTTGTATGTTTGGGGGCGGGGGGATTAAACCCAGAGCTTCATGTGTACTAGGCTAGTGCTCTACCACTGAGCTTCAACCCCAATCCTGAAATTTTTTTATTTGTATTACTTAAGTACATATTTTCCCTACTTTGTCAAGTTTGTGAGTTTGAAGTTGTATAGATATTTCTAATAAGTAATTATTAATACTAGTTATAATGATATCTGTGACAGTTTTTCTTAATCTATTAGGTTGAACTATGTAGCCATTTTTAAGATCAAAACTATATCAGCAATTTTGTATGCTTTAACCTAATAAATAATAAAGGAAATTTAAGGAGCTTCCCAACTCCTATTTCTGTCATTCAGTAGCCAATAAGAATTAACTTGTAATCTGCTTTTGCATTTGTTGTTTTGTTTGTTTGTTTGTTTGTTTCTCTAATAAAAGTATGCCATTTAGGAAAACAATGCCCTTCCATAGAAATTAATGGATGTAACAAGTTAATGGTGAAATTAACAATTTATTAGTACAGAATTTTAAATTATTACACAATATAAACGTTGCAACAAGGCTTTCTTTAATCTGAAATTTTTCCTCTCTGTGGTTGCAGTTTTGTTTCAGAGGTATTCTATTTGTTTTTTACATCAGATGCTTTCAAATGGCTTAAATCGCTGTAGGAAAATTTAAATATATTGAACTGAGTGGACAAACTCATTCTAATTTTACAGGAACTAAAATATGTAGTTAACTAATATTTTTATTACTGTTGCTGACACTTCTCTATATAAAACTTCAGTAATTAAACCCAGCTAGTTCAGTTGTTAGTAACTAAGAACCAATTATTTTGGCCATTTGCCAAAGTTATCAAGGTAAAATAAAATGAGCCACACAATTATGAAAGGAAATAGAAGCTGTGAGGGGGGTTTTATTAAAAACTACTAAGCTCATATTAAGAATATGTACTTAATTTTGTTCACGTCTTAGAATATATTACATGTAGTTGTAACCCTTCTTTGGTACTCCCAACAGCAATAACTAAAGTTTGTCAAATTATATAGTTAGCAAACCAAAGTAAGTGTATAATGACAGTTCTCCAGGGGTTCATTTAGTCACCTACCTGGAGACTGCCTGATGAAGTACTTCTGAAAGGAGGTTCAGTAACCTGTGAAATGTAGGGTGAGTTTCCAGATCTTTGTCATTCTGGGCTGAAAGTTAATAATGTTTAGAAAGTACCTGGATTATAAAGCAACCTAAGAGGTGGGGATGTGGGGTGAGATCACCATTGTTGAGATTTCAGCTTATTTTATATTAAACTGAAGTTCCTACATCATAATAAGTTAATATCTCTAAAAAATATAAACTGCAGAGCTTTCACTATTTCAGAGAAAAATAATTTTGTGAATTCAGTGTGTGTTAAAACAACTTCTGTTACCACATTTTGGGTGTTTTATATTATGTGTTATCAAGCTGTGTTTTTGTGTTTTATTTTAGCTTATTTGCACTAATCTTGATGAACTCAGGGAATTAATCACAAAAATCGAGAATGAACTCAAAGATCTGGAAAACAGTAGAAAAAAATCGGTAGGTGTTAATCCAAAAGTTCTGTCTATTATTGTCAGCATTAAAATTTATTCCTGCCTTTTTTCTAAAGCCTTTTAAAAATTTTGTTCTCCTGGATTACATTGAAAATTTGCAATGAAAGATAGAAACATTATTTCTTTTATTTCTCCTGTGGTCTAGTTTTTAATTTTAATACACAAAAATGGTGCCGGGGCAAGTAAATTAATTTGTTTGCCTGGTTTATACCAGGTGTAGATTTAGATAATTCCCAATATACTGATTGTTTTCTGACTGGTAGTGGTTTTAGATAATGCTTATCTTGCAAATTAACAATTATATGCTTTTAATGGAAGTTTATTGCATTAGTAACAAACTTTTAATTAAGTGTAACATGAAAATAGATGTAAATTGTTTAATTGGGCCCCAGATAGTTTTGATTCTTAACAGTATGACTTTTTAAAGAGCCTTTATCAGCTGAAAGATTTTTAAAATTAACTTTCACTACATATTCTAAATAATTAATCTTTACTTTCCCTTTCTGATATTTTATTGATATTCGGAGACTATAATATAAGGGCATTATGTTTATTTTCCCAACTTGGTAAAACACTCAATTTTGTTATTTTTTAAATGAATAACACCTATTTAACTGGCATTTACATTTAGATTATGTCATAAATTTGAAACACATCCAATAAATAAATGGGAAGGTTTTAAACATTGAAGAAAATTAATTGTCATTAAAAAAAAAAAGCCTCTGTGTCTTAGGAATGTCATGAAACCACTCTGTGTCTTTGTTTAGAATCTTGTTAATGTAAATATGTATAAAATATGGTTAATGATTTCAACAAGTATGATATCAGCAGATTTGTAGTAATCACTTTACAAGCTAGTAGGAAAGCCATATTGTTAGTCTGAGGCAGGAGGCTGAAATGCCACAAAAGTACAACCTATTGAGGTTATTCAGTACTAGAGTGAAAGAACCTTAAGCATTTCAGAAGTCTCTCATGGGATACTTCTGAGAATATTACTTTAAGAGGTAAAATAATATTCATAATAATAATCATAAATTAGCAAGAAGACTGTGTTCAGTATACTGAGAATGAGAAAAACTATATACTACATAAAATTTCCATTAAAGATGGTTTAGACCCCTGTATTTTCATACATTAGGTATCTGGAAAGTCTCTTGATATGGAAGACTATTTCATTAAAATTTACTGCTGTGATATAGTTCTCAAAAAAAATATGAGAATATTTTCTCTTCCGCCAGAGTAATTTTTTTTAAAGAAAGAGAGAGAGAGTGAGAGTGAGAGAGAGAGAGAGAATTTTTTTAATATTTATTTTCCATTTCTCGGCGGACACAATATCATTGTTTGTATGTGGTGCTGAGGATCGAACCCCGGCCGCACGCATGCCAGGCGAGCGCACTACCGTTTGAGCCACATCCCCAGCCCCAGAGTAATTTTTAATGTATTTAATGTTTTATATTCATAAAAGACTCATTATTTTCTGAGGTAGAAAAAATAGTCTCTTTTTAAAATCCATATAATTCATTGTTTTTGTAGAAGTTACTTGTTTTCAGTTTTCCATAATTCATGACTTAACAGAATTCTATTAAATAAATTTGCTAAATTTCTTATGCTACAGTTAAACATAACTTTAATTTGTCCCCACATTATAGTTTAAGAGTTTGTTTTTATTGCATAGTTTTAAGCATACTTGACTTACTTACAGCATGTTTAGAAGAGAAAAAGACTTGAAAACATCCTAGAGTTTTTCGGTAAAACCATCCACCTCATTTAATTGGTGAAGTACAAGCATGTTGCCTTCCTTCACAGAATCAAGTACAAGAAAAATAAGAGGAAACAAACTATAAACATTTGACACTGTAGTCCTTGAAGGCATGTTTATCAGAAAATTTTAGATTACATATCAAGTAATTGATTGGATTTTGGGTCTCTAAACAATTTATTCATGGTCCCTCATATTTTCAATAAAGGATGTTTTTCATCCTTCAAGAAGTAGAAATTCTTGGAACTATACTTAGCAGGGATAATTTTATTGAGATTACCAGCATGTGAGCTGTTTCCCTATGATATAAACTTCCTAAAAGATTATTTACATGAACATATTATTTCAAACAATGAAATGGCCACATACCATAAAGCAAATAAGAAGTTTACATCTCAGTAGTATTTCCTATTTTACAGAATCTAATTGAGTTAGTTGCACGAATTGACTTTATTGAATGTTTATGTTAATATTTAATACCAGTTTGTTTGGCATCATTTGGAAATAAGGTATTCCACTTAACTGAATTTTCTAGATAAAACTTTTAATACTAAAATCTTTATTTTAATCACTTCTTTGATTACTTGTACTATATTGAAGACAATATAAACCTTTTTGATGACTAAAGGGTCATCTTCATGAATATCAATAAGTGTGTTGTTATTCTAAAAACTTTATTGATATCAGCAGGGCTCTGTGGCACCTGCCTATAATCCCAGCTACTGGGGAGGCTGAGGCAGGAGGATCACAAATTCAAGGGCAGCCTGGGCAGCTTAGCAAGACTCCATCTCAGAATTTAAAAGTTACAAGGTTTAGGGATATAGCTTAATGGTAAAGCACATCTAGGTTCAATCTCCAGTACAAAAAGAAGAAGAAAGAAAAGGAAAAGAAATTTATTGATTTCAGTAGCTTTAATTAAACATTCACCAAAAGACTTTTATCCTGTGGATTTTAAAGGATTTTGTATGTCTTCTCCATTTTTGGCTTTTGTTCTGTCTTTCTTCATTGCCAGATTGTCTGTCAGTTGTCATCTCTTGTGTGCGTACATATATTTGCTCTAGCTGATGCATTGTGGATTTAAAAAGCAGGTAACCATACTTGTTAGAATTGGACTCACAGAAAATCCCCTAAGGGATTTTCTTAATAATGAAATATATGAACTCAGTGATAGCGATAGTTGTTATGACTGATTGCTTGTCTTGTGGACTTCGCATACTATTGCCAGACAAATAAACTATTAATATTGCTCTTCATTAGAGGATATCAATGTCAAAACTAAAATAGTATTTAAAGCACAAGCGATTCTGTTATTCATTATCATTGTTCATATCTATAATAATAGCACCAATAACAAAGTAAATATTCCATATAAATTTTGGTTTTATATGTTGTTACTAAAGATAGAAATTACACATGATAGAGAATTTAATAAAGATTTATATAAACAACTAGCTGCTTCAGAGGGCTTATTTTCTGCAGAGCCTTTCAAGATAGTTTTTCTTTCCAAAACAACAAGGAAGAATGGTTTTGCTTTCTCTACTGGGTCAACATTCCATTTAAAAAGTTATCATTTTTTTTTTCAGTAACAGACTTCATATTTTAAAACAGTTTTATTATGTTAATATTAAAAACCTTTTAAACTTTTTTTTAACCTCTAAGAGGCTTTGTAATGGAAGATGTACAGTTTTTTAAAATCTARATTGTTTACTCATTCTTGCAAGACAGGTAATTCCCTTTATGGTTAATCATGTAAAGAGAAAAATGCTTTAATTTGCTTGAGCTTTACTCAGTTCTTTTGATCACATTACTTGATTCAGAAGTGACTCAACATTCTTTGCATCCTGAAGTGCTAACTTAATTATCTACCTGAGATTGGTTTAGAGTGAAGCCTCTGGTTGAGGTAAATTAAAATATTTTGACAGAGTCCTTTAATTTTTCTCATCATTATTTAGATCATAAGAGTCTTTAGAAATCTAAAGGAGAAATCAYATTTTTTGCTTTTTCTTTAATATTTTTTTAGTTGTTATTGGACACAGTATCTTTATTTTTATTTGTTTATTTTTATTTGGTGCTAAGGATTGAACCCAGGGCCTCATGCATGTGAGGTAAGCCTCTACCACGGAGCTATAAACCAGCTTCTCATTTTTTGTTTTAATTGAAGTCAAATTTGTATTTTGCTTAATCACTTGGAAAAATATCCTTTCCAATCTAGGAAATTTTTTGTTTTCTAGAAAAATAGAAAATTAAGGTATTGATAAATTTACCTGATGTTATTGTGTTTGAAATTTGTTACACATTATTTCTCTATAGATAGTGAAAATTGGAAGATTTGTCAAGCATTCATGTGAGCTAGTTTTTCATCTTATCTGCTTTACATCATAGTTTAGATTTTCAAAAGGTTTCAATCTTACAGTAAGGAAGGATTCATGTAGAGATTGGTTATAAGGAAAAGTTAAAATTTGGCAACAAAAAGATGTTATTTATTAAAGAAGAAGCCATGCCTAGATCATATAATGATAATCAAAGTCTTATCAATTTGGAAAAATTGATTTTAAATATAAGACTATATCTTTTCTAACACATCTTTTAACATTCAAGTACCTCAACTTTGAACAGTATTTAAAGGCAAATTACAATTATTACTAGATTTTATTATCAATATGTTAGAAAAGCCATAAAACTGCCTTTGCTTTTTGATACGGGGATAATACTTGGGATCTAATTCTGTTCTTTGAATTTTTCCTCTCCTGCCCCCAGAAGTGAAATACACAATGGTGTGTTTAACAAACTACCTTTAATAGTGGAAATTTGGAAATAGCTCATATGTCCAGTAGTAGGCAAATGATTAACCAAACTATAATATTGATACAGTGGTATATCATATACTAGTAAAATGAAATATTGGTGGGACATTGTTACTACAAGAAAATATTTGTGAAATGTTGTATTTTAAGAACGTACAAAATAATATGTGCCTGATGATTATAGTATGTAAAAAGGTGTGTTAAAATTATTAAGGAATTTTGAATGAATAAAGTTAATATTTCTAAAATAATTTAAATTCATAATATAGTAAATATTAGAGAAGTCAGAAGATTAGATGAGAAATGATGGCACCTACCTGTTTTTGGGTCACAAGAGTTCTGTATAAGCCAGTAGTTATCAATTAGGGATTATCTTTCCCCTTCCCCTCACTAGGAGACTTTTTGGCAATGTCTAMAGACAGT